GGTTAAGAACCCCTGATTTAAATGAAACATCTGAAATATAATCTTAAATATTTTTAAGCTCTTTTTGAGCAGTAGCAACAAAAAACATGATTTTCAGCAGAAATTTTTTTCATTTTTTTTCATTTTCACTGCAAGCTAAGAAAGATCTTTTTCCAGCTCGTAAAACTTAATATCCAAATGTTGTTTGATGCTTCCTCTTTAAAATGACAACAATTAGTCTTCATTATAATATAAAAATGGACCAAATATCAATGTATTATCATCGATAACAAGAGAAACCAAGCCATATCTCTGGAACCACTCATGATATCAGGATGATCCAGGTATCAAAATGTAAAGCTGAAATCTGAAAAGGTGTTTAGGTCATTTTGACCAAATTTGACTCAAGTTTGACATGATGGCTCACACGTATAAAGAAATAAACACGAACATACCATGATCGTAGTTGTCATCAGGAACTCTGAAGCGCACGCGTCTTTTGGCAGTGGGTTTTTCAGGTTTAGGCACTGGACTCACAATTTCCCCATAAACACTCTGCTTCTTCAGGATGGAAACTAGACCAGAGGAAGGGGAGATCTGGCAAAAACAACAACAACAACACAAAAATATAACAGATTTAAGCAGTACAGACAAAAAAACTGAACAATTTCTGTTTACAAAATAAAAGTTTGTTGGAATTGTTCATTTTCACACACACAAAAAACAGTACATGAGGTAATCATCAGTACTGAACTCTGACTCTCTTTATCGATACTTCAACATGTTTACAATCGTGTATTTCCAGGTAACAGTGATGCCTTCTGTAATGCTGTGAGTGAAGATTATTGGATTAAAACTGTTGCCAAAGTGAGCTGACTTTAATGACAGATGAACTTTGGTCAAGTCATGCCAGCACGTCACAATCAGTCTGGTTCATGTCACATTGTGCAGTAATGATGACATCATTCAACCGTTTGTGATTACTGCGCAGATGACAGTAAAACAGCAACACAAAAGCTCTTCCTAAAAATGTTCACTTTTATAATTATTACATATAAGAGCTGCAGATGCCATGTGAACTGTTTGTACTCTGTATGTAATAAATGTATAGATGACATCAAAAGTAATAATTTTAATAAGATATGTTTCAGTTCTGCACTATAAGAAAGCAGAGAAAAAAATCGACCATCACATAACAAATACTAGTTGTCTATGCTTAAACATTTATTTGTTTCTATACTTTATATTCTTTAAATTAAAAGAGTTAAATGTCAAACTATACATTTCAGATTTGCCACACAGCTCCTTTTTAAATTACATTGACGAGGTTTTGTCATTAGTTCTGTTTTAACATAAAGATAAGTAGAAATACAGACAGAAACTCCAAAACGTAACCAAACAGCAGATTTAAGAAATTGCTTGACAACAAAGTAATAATGTTCACTTTTATCACCCACTGGCACAAGATCAGACATAATATTTTAGTCTGCCTCTTTGTGTGTGTTTCTGTCTGTAAAATATCTCACAAACCGCTGGATGCATTTTAATGAAACTATCACAAACTGAATGCAGATCTTCAACCGATTGAGATTTTGGACAAAAGAAAACAAAAACACTTTAATTCAGCCAGTTCTACAGATGCTGAATGTGTGGTGTGGTAGTAGCTGATGAAAAGCCGTGATATGCCAGGACTTTACTTTAAAATAAACTCAATTAAATTCTAAATAAACACATTCAGTGGACGTACACACCTCCTCAATTGTGATGAGTCTTGCCATGTGGTCGAGTGAAGGAGCTTCTCTGATGAGGTCAGCTTCGTAGTCCGCCTCCTCCTCTTCTTTCTTCTGTGCACACTGCTCCTGCTGCCACCAGTGAGCCTCTTCAGGAGGGAGTGTCTCTTCGTACAGCCAGGGTGTAGAGCTCTGCTGCTGCAGTCATAATGAAGAAATGTTTATAACATTTAGTCCGTGTCACCATAAAATAGTTGAGGTAACTCATCATGCTGATAAACTCTCGTCTGCACGGCTGTAAAACTGTTTTAATTTAAAAATCTCATACAGATCTGTAATCACAGCTTGGAGCAGAAATAAAAGGAGGCAGTACATTTTGATTTGTTTTTAAAGGGATCCCCGATTAATTGTAACATTAGACTTTATTTAATAAACATATATTTTAACTGTAAAATAAAGACTATAAAAATACTGTAGGCTGTTTAGTTTTTATAATTTTTAAACTAAAAGTTTGAAAGTATATTACACGGACAGAGCCATTTTATTTACATGCAAAGCATTCTGGGTAAATGATGACGTGGATAGGTCCTTGATGGGAGGCTGCTAGCGAGCTATATCCACCCTGAAGGTTAATGTTGGACAATATCTGATGATCGACTCTTTTAAATGAAACCAGAGAGCGTTGACAGAG